TGTGTGTGTGTGTGTGTGTGTGTGTGTGTGTGTGTGTGTGTGTGTGTGTGTGTGTGTCAGATGCTCTGTTGTCCTAATACTAGAACATCATCATTTACCCGGTATGATTTGTGGAGTAAATAAAATGMCACTGTCTGTGTGACAATAGATATTTTTAATTTATAAAAGCGAAACAGTGTTTTTACAGTCTTTGTTCTACAGCTGATGTAAATGTTTAATTATTAATATCTAATGTTACAACTATCCAGGGTTCCCTTGGATGGCAAGGATGGCAACCCAGGGTTGCCATCCTTTCTCCTGTTTGCCAACCTGCTGCTACTMTTATTACCCAACACCATCTGTAAGGCACAGTAACCGATCTCCCTTCTATTACCTACCAGAGAATAATGAAAACTCGTGGTACTGGGAARCTAGCATTAAGACAAAGTTCTGCCTCAGTGTTTCTGCTGCTCTGACGATTCAGCCAAACATCAATACGAGCTGAGCTCCAGAGTCAATATAGATTGTTACTGTTTAAACTATAAAACAGGTACTGTTACTTTGACTACTCTCAGGCTGGTTAGAGCCAAGTCATCTATAGGAAATCAATGTTAAYCACGCTCCATTCTCACAAATAACCAATGTGATATTTAGCCATACTTTATCTGTGAATTGATTATATTTTTAATAYTGGGATAAAACTACAAATATTTTAATATTTTAACTGTGCTAAATTGAGAAATCATGAGAGGTAGGGATTTTAAAYTGAGCTCAGTTTAATTTGCTCTCTAACTCCAGAAAGTCTGGAKACCAACTTTTCAAGCTTCTCCAACTGCTTAAAGCAAAAATTACTGTAAAATAATGTAACTGCACCTTATTATGAACATTTATGTTTTTTTTAGCCTTGTTTAATTCAGTCTGGCTATCTTTAGTGTTATTTACACCTTGTTTTGCTACTTAAACAACTTTCAAAACCTTATGCAAAAAAAACTGCTTTTGTTTATTAATATTGGTTTGTTGTTTATTTATTAATGTTTGTTCCTGTCTAATATTTATTGCATATGTGCTCTCCYGCACAGCGTGGCAGATTGACAGAAGAGATAGATGCTGCATGAAATTCCCGGCTGCTGGATGTGTACTTGTGCAACACACGGCAATGTACAAACAATGTTTGTGTTTGAATGAAATCCTGAGAAACAGAAAAGGAGTTGCTAACCGCTTTGTCCTCCTGTTGCAATTCCATGAGAGGAGGAATGCAGCAGACCGAAAGGAAGCAAGGAAGAAGACAGATGAGGGAGGGGGGAGGGGGTATAAAACACAAGGAGAAAGACATTGTGAATGGCATTAGTAGCTCCTACTAATGCGGCCACTAACTTAAATGCTATCAAACTAATAGCGTTGGCAGACACTGTAGAAAGGAGTTTACAGAGGTTAGTTGGACAACAGAGTGCCATGTTAAAATCAGCATTAAGCTCCTTTTTGGGATAAACCAAAGAGGAAGAGTTCCCTCCAGTGGTGAAATGGGACAAATGCATGTTTCAAAGCATGAAAGAGAAACTCTGGAGCTTTTAATCACATCAGATTTACTTCAAAGTGTCAGACTACAACAGYTGTTAACAGTACAGCAAACCTCAGTCTGTGCTTTAGTCATTATATGACTYTGTGTAGGTCTGTGCAGTGGAAGGGGCGTTATTACCTTATTTGAACGAAGAGACACTCGTCCTCCGCACCGAGCACAAAATTTAGTTTGGCAATATGAACAGAGGTGACCACAGCCGTCGGCAAACTTCGTTTTGTGACATATTCCACACGTCGGGGCGTCGCTCTTCTGGTCCTGAGCCGGCTTAGTCTCGTCCCCCATCTTCTTGACCTGGTTCTTATACGATTCAAACTGCTGGTGTAACTTCCTGCAGGTGGGTTGAAAAACAAAAAAACAAGGAGAGATTAGGAAATGAAAGCAAAAGTTTTGTAAATGTTTATGTATGAATTAAATCATTTTAATGACAAATGTACAAAACTAATTGTGGCACACTTTGTTATGACAGGACGTTAACATACAGCACACTCAGAACAGACTTGATGAATTCAGATGGTTCTTTTTAAAAGTTATTTTTCTTAAAATGACTTTTAAAGATGTTTTTTAAGATTCTTGGTTGAACAGAATAATTTGTGACAGATGAGGATGTCAACAACAGTTTGGAGAAAAAGGTTTATCATGTTATGTTTTCTTTTCTTTTTTTAACTTTAGTTTTGTTTGGTGAAATCTTGAATATTTCCAGTTATGGAAGAAGAACTTCTGTTCATTATTTCACCTGATCAGTCAGAGGTCTTTGTTCTATGATTCTTCGTTTCATTATACAAAAGATATTGATTTGTCAAAGACAACATATCTGGACTGTCCATCCTGCACTCTGTAATATAAAGCCATGCTGTTGTTGTGTAGAAAGATGTTTAACATCTGAAATAACCATTACCCAGTTTGGTAAAAAGCACTTGTTTTTATTTTCTTCATTGTCTGCTCCCTTTGGTATGACTGAGTATTAGGGCCACACAACAAGAGTTTCTTATTATTACGACAATAAAGACACAATATGAGAATAAAGTTGTAATTTTACAAGAATAGTCATGATATCACAAGATTAAAGTCGTAATTTTGCGAGAATAGTCATAATATTACGAAATTAAATTTGTAATATTACGAGAAAAAAAGTCATAATCTTACATGTCGTGTCCATTTTCCGTTCTTCATTTCCACCTTGTTTTCCTCACACCTGCTGTGTACAGCCATGTGTCTGTTTTTATGAAGTAGTCTGGGATGACCTGGGTCACTGTTAGATTAATATATGCTTTCATCCAAATTAGCTATGTGCCAACTAAATCTGTCAATGCATGCTTCAGTTTACCATAAAGTCATTTGCACAATTTCCAAGTCTTGCTACTGATAACTATTTATTTTAAGCAATACTACAGAACATCTTGACAAGTTGCTCAACATTCCTCATTTTAATGCCTTGGTGACTGCATGCTTTTATAGTATTACGACTTTAATTTTAGAATATTGTGACTTTTTTCTTGTAAACTTAACTTTAATCTGGTAATATTATGACTTTTTTCCATATGACTTTAATCTAGTAATATTATGATTTTATTCTCATCAGTGTGCATTGCCAATGCAATGCACACTATTGTGATTCGTTTCCCATCCAAGTTATCTCAACTTTGCCATGCTTCTCCTCCTGCATACTTTGCCCTAGAGCTGCCATTGTAATTTATATCTGAAACGCTCC